TTTTATTTTAATTTTAATGATTTTCTTCTTTATTTATTTTCTTATTTTTTTATGAATGAATAATTCATTATTATTATATTATTATTTCTAATTTAATTTATTATTAATACCATCATTTTTTCATTCTCTTTTGATATTATTCATTCCTAACGCATTATTTTATTCTTTGTATTATTATTTATTATATTTCTTATTAAAATCCATCATAATAATCAAATATTCATTGATAATTCATTCATTGATTTTATATTACTGTTTATGTGTCGTATATATAATATGTCAACTTCAAATCTATAAAATCAGACAGAAGAAAGAAGATGACATCAAACCAAAATGAAAGAAAGTTCCCAGAAGAAGGACAGAAAGGAGTAAAAGAAAATGAAAATAAAGAAGAAAATGTAATTCAATTTATATATAATAAATTTAACGAACTTAAAGGTCAATATGAAATTATTCCAAAAGTGAAAGATGAAAGAAAAACAAAAGAATTAGATGATAATGGTATTAAGGTTAAACAAAGAAATAAAACATTGGAAACATTTAAAATTATTAAACAACTAGAAGAATGGATAGAAAAAAGAATAAACGATATATTATTTGATTCAGATATTGATGGATGGAATATTACTACATCAGTATTTGATCAAAGATTAATGAATAAAGAGAATCTAATAATTCTCATTAAAGATACAGAAGATAATCTTTTTGGAGGATATGTTCATTCTAAAATTGATAACAATTGCCCAAATTCATTTTTATTTTCATTAAAGATAAAAGGAAGAATAAAAGGAATGAAGAAATTGAAGATTCAGAATATGCAATTTATATATTCAAAAGAACAGATGATAGTTTGTTTTCATTTGGATATAGTGGAATATTTGGTTGTCTTAGTGATATTTTTGTTTATAAAGAAAATAATAAAACAAATTCATATTGTTATCAAGAGACATTTGAATATAAAGGAATAGAAAATGCACTCTGTGGAAAACAACATCCTCATTGTTTTATTCCAAAACAAATTGTTGTTGTTGAAATGAAATAATCAAATTTTTCATATATTTTTTATCATTTTATTTTTATAAAAAAAGATACAAATGATGTTTATTAACATTAAACAAATCAAAATGAAGTATCTTTCTTTGAAACAAATAACCATTTTCTAAGTCAATGTTACAAAGAAGCTTAATATCAAAACCTTTAAAATTTTTATTTTTTATGGTTATATCATTATTTGCTAAATAATCATTGTTTTATATCAAAATATCAACAAAAAAAAAGAAATAAAGTTGAATTTCAATTATTCATTTAATAAAATTTTTGGAAAT